TATATATATATATATATATATATATATATATATATATATATATATAATTACAACTGCAGTACATTTTTGGAATACTGTACATTTTCTATAATCCAGAATATCCAAATTATTTAATAATCCAATTACTTTTTTTTTCTTGATACATACACAATTATGAAATAACAATTTTTAATTGTGTGTTTTAGTCAAATTATAATATCAATAAATCTGGTAGTTACAAAATGACCGAAATACTAATTATTTAAAACTGTATTTATTACATTTATTTTTTACAATCAACCCATATTATAATTCTTAATTTAAACAATTTGTGATTTATAAGAAACTTGGAATAATATTCTATATTTTTTAAGATTAATTTTACATTAAAATGTTAAAGTGTTGTAATTAATTAAACTGAATATGAATAAGGTATTTTTGTTAAAAATTGATTTATATAATTATAACATATTTATTATTTTGTTTCAGATGTTTCATTACAGACAAGACATGTTTTTGTTCAATTTGTGGAAGAATCTTCTGCACTTAAAGCTTTGGCTCAAAATCCTCCAGATTATATTATGAGCAAAAAGCTTGGTATACATAAAGTTTGTTTATATTACCTTTATTTTAGAATTATTTTAGATCAAAATTATGTATTTTGCATTGTTAAGTTAAATTAGTTCATAATTTTGAACTTAAAAAATGATTAAATTATTATATATAACTTTTCAGATGTAAAACCAGTAAGACCGTTCTTTTATAAAAATGGAGAGCTTGTAAAAAATGAACGAGCAGCAAATTTTGATGCAAATGAAAAAAGGTATTTATTTTCTATAAAAATAAAAAAATAATATTTTTGATTTGATTCTTTGTGTTGAAAACTCAACAAAATTCACTGGCTGACTACTATTTCCATAAATGTTATTATAAAATATTTCAGCTTTAATATAATATATTTCATATAATTTAAATAAATGTAGGAAAATATTATCGTTTAAAATATGCTTTATATCTTCTACAGTTAACTCTTTAAAAGTATCAGATGTTTGAACTATACAATATTTAGCTACCACTATTTCAGATTTCATTGTATCAATCAAAATATATTTATAATTGGATATTTTAGGAAATCTATGAAAATTATTAAGGAGCTAAATCCTTTCTTAAAGTTACACCCATTTTATCAATAATCTTATATAAAATTACCACAATATGTAAATTAATGTTGATATTAAATATTTCTTTAATGTGGTTTTAGAAACGATAATAGGAATCAACGGAATCAAGACTTGTAAGTAAAATATTGATAAGTTCAATAAATGTAATCTTTGTCAACGTATAATTAATTATATTATGTATTTTATAGTCCTTTATATAATTATATAAATATTAATATTATAATATAGTAATACATTATTTTATAGTCTTTTATTGTTTTCTTATAAATTGTAATGATTGTATATTAAAATTGTGTATAATGCAATGGTTAGTCTCCACCAATCATTGTTTTATTCTTATGCATTATAATTAATATTGCTATAAAAATACAATGTTTATTATGTAAAAACGCATAATTTTTAATAATAAGTAATCAATTATATGTTCATTTCGATGGTGCTATTGAGTAAATAAAAATGTATTGGAAACAAAAAATTGTTATTAGCAGGGCTTGTAAGTTCATGTATTTGCATGTTTTTTTTTTGCTACATCGGAAAACATGCTAAGTGAAATACAAATCCATTTCATGATAATAGCAATAAAAATCTTAAGTTTGATATAGTAAGTTTTGTATGTATTGACAAATAATTGATTTTTTTGAATTATTAACGCATATTATTTTATGTTAATTCAGCAAAATCTTTTTTCGTGGAAGTTAAAAAAAAAACAATTATATCAATAAATGCTTGATAGATGTTTACAAAATCTTATTATTTTATCAGTATTTTTGTATGACATTGTGATTCATAAGTTAAAATCAATACCACAAAAATGTTATTGTGTACTGCTACCACCCTCCTACTATTGATGTGTACATTGCAATCTATCAATTTATTTTTGGCACAATGTGTATTTATAATTTATAATTTTAATAAATTGTAATAAAAGAAATAAAATATAAATTAAATACATGAATGGATAATTTTTATTATTTTAAAAAATGCTTATACATTTTTTCTCGTGCATAGTTTAAGATTTGTAATGCATATTTTGTATTTTTTAGTGCATATTTGTATGCATATTTTATCAAATATTTATTGCATATATATTTATGTGTTTTTTAGTTCATGAACTTACGAGTCCTGGTTATTTGAAAGTTATTTTTTTTTACAATTGAACATATAATTATTTTTTTAAGCTAAAAATTAATATGAAACTGTATATTTAATTTGAAAAATTTCAGTGATGATTTTAAACCTAGCAGACAGTTAATGAATCCTAATCTCATGAATCCAAATGCTCCTAATGATTGTGAAATTGTTGTTACCAATAATACTTTAACGTAAGTTTTTAAAATATTTTTATTAGTTGTTTAAATAATAACCTAGTAAAATATTCATAATCTGGATAATGCTTTTTATTTATATTTTTAGTGAATATGCAGAATTTTTAGAAGTTAATTTGAAAAAAATGAATATGAAAGTTGATTTATTATTTCCTAATCCTGATATACCAATGAATCGTGTTCTTGGGACTTTAGCACAAAGGGGAACATTATATGTTTTAGTTGTACGCGATGAAAATAAATTATATCGTAGTGTAACTGTAGATATACTTCATGGTATACCTGAAGGTAGTATATTCTTAATATTTAAATTTTAAATATTCAGTCTAATATGAAACAGATATAAAATTGTTGCTTTTACTTTTTTTAGAACATAGGAATATGCCTTACAAAGATGCTTTGGCGTTTATCGTTCATAGTTTTGAGGCATTTATTAGAGGAGAAAAAATGAGTCCTATACCTGGACTTGCTGGTATACCCATATCTGAATGTGGCATTCCTTTAGGGGATAAACATCCTGAAGGAATTATCACATTATTGAATTTATTACAAGACCAACGAGATCTGACAGTCCTACAGTATGATATGGTAAAAATAATATTTTAATTATTATATTATGAAGGTAGTAGATATTTTTAATTATTTAATTTAATATTGCAATATTTTGCTGTATAATAATCAGAGCTCAGGACTTATAGCACTTTAAATCATTAAAATAAGTGCTTAAAAATATCATTATAAACACTAAAATAAGCATTTAAAAAATATTAATTTAAGCAAAAATATTTATTAAAAAAAAAATAAAAATAAAAAATTCTGACTAAAAAATCAAATAAAATAAAAATAAATCTTCACTTTCAAGACTAAGGATTTTGTGGATTTTATAAGGGATTTTTCTGAAAAATAAAATGTAAACTGTTCTCTCTGTTCTTGATCATTCTGACGTTTGACACTCAGTTCTATTTTCAGCGTTGGAATATCTTTGTTAACCTTACAGCGATGCCTTGGACGACAACAAACTACGTGACAACATAGATAAGATAAGAATTATTTTTAATTTTCATTCTATCAAAAACAACTTTGCAGGAAAAAACTATAAAAACGTCAAAAAATTGGTCAAATAAGCAAAAATAATCAGAAAAACTGAAAATAAGCATTTTTTTTAAAAAATGACTGAAAAAAGCAAAAAAAGGCACTTTCAAATTTCATAATTGTACGTGTTATAACTTGACATATACTTTTATATCACTCTGATAAATTTTAAGTCAATCCATAAAAATAAGCAAATGCTTTAACTCCCGAGCACTGATAGTATTTTAATAACACATAATAATATAATATAATGTGTAATTAAATTATTATAGAGTTATGTTGTTATAATAATAATAATGTTGTTAAATAATTTATGACAATCGATAAAAACTTTATAATCTATTCAAAGTGTATTATAGCATCGGTTCTTAACCTTTGTGTAGTGGCGACCCAAGATATTTACCAAATTTTTCCTGCGACCTTTTTATAAATAATATTCAATGGCAGAATAAAAAATAACTATTTGGTACTCTTAATTGAATTACATTTTTTATTCATATTACTTATATTCATAACACGTCATAATATTAATTACATTATATTTAAAAATAAACATTTCTTTTAATAATATTGTATTGTTTTTTAAATAATTTTTAATTTTATGACTTCCTTGGTCTTGATGTTGCTTTACCAATGAATCAATTTAGAGTTCTTTTATGGAGTTAGTAAGTGAAATACGCATCGTGGGTTCGACATCAAGCTTGTTTCTTGATTTGGTTTTGATTGTAGTTAATATCTTTATTACAACATGTAAAAATATTAGTTAATGGCCTTTGCATACTCAAATATAACTCATTTAATAACGAAAAAATATTTGATAGATACGCAACTTTTGTCAACCAAATTATATCTTGAAAATGGATGGATAACAGTGAATTTTTTTCTCTTAAAAATACTTCTATTTCAGTTCTTAATTCAAAAAATCTCGTTAAAATTTTTCTCCATGATAACCAACGTACATGAGGTTTCATTTATTATTTATAAGGCTTAAAAATAAAAATATTATACTAACGTTTTAAATTTTTATCCGACCCATTTAAAATTATTGGCGACCCAAAATTGGGTCGCGACCCTATGGTTAAGAACCGCTGTATTATAGGATTATTTGATTTATAAATAATATTGATTATCATCATTATTCATTAACCCTTGTAGTGATTTATATTACAAAAAATGTATTACTTTGTATAACCTCTTTTACTTAAGCAACTCATAACACAATGTTATACTTAAAAAAAATTGAACTTTTATTGTTGACAATGATATTTAATGACATTATTAAACTTGGTTTACAGATAAATTTAATGAATATTTTATATCTTAGTTATATTGTAATTTAATAATATAGCTAATCATAGCTAATCAAGTCAATTTTATGACCATTATATTTATTTTTGTCGCATAAAATTCTATATTTTTTTTTTTATATATTTATATATTGACACCTGAATTATTTGTTCCAAAGCTACTACAATATTTAAAAGAAAAAAAAGATGACCATATCAAAGAAGAAGTTGGTGCTGTGCCTAGTTTTAAACCAAGTAAATATACTATGCTAATTAAAGAACATTATAAAAAATAAATTAATATATTTATCAAGTATTGATGCTATGCAATTATATTATTTAGTTACAGCAGATGTTCCAATTCTTCCAGCTGCAGCAGCTATTCAAAATCCTCAAGCAGCTCAATTACAAAGTCGTATTTTGAACATTTTGAATACATCACTTTCTTCTAATGTTCAACCTCAACCAACAATTGAACCAAATGAAACTGAAAAAAATTCATCTAGTATTCTTAAAGAACCTAATGTGCAAAAAGCATTAGAAAGCTTATTCCAAGGGGGTAATTTACTTAGAAAATAAATAATTTTTATAAACTTCATGTATATATTTTTTTGTATTTAGTTTAATATTTAATTTTATAATAAATAATTTATATATTTAATAGTACTTTTTATTAATTATTGTTAGTAATTTTGATGATTCTGACTACATTTGGATTTCATAGACTTTTAATTTTCTTATATTATTAAAACAGTGTAATTAAATATTGTTTTAGTAATTATTTTGTGATTTTACAATATAAAGTATTCCAGAAGTTTTATAGTATACATTTTGTGTTTACTGTGTTATAAATATTTTAATAAATTTAATAAATATGTAAAATATAAATGTCAAAATAATTTTAAAACTACTGACAATATAAAAGAATTCACAATTTTTTATAATAAAGACAAACATTTTCACTGCCAGTATTAAATCAATATTCAGGAGTTTAAACCTATAACTATAAACTATACTAAACTACAACTAATACGCTAACCAGTGGTGTATACAGAAAATATTTTTGAGAGGGGCTGCTATGAACAGAGTTAAATTACCACTGCTATCTAAGAATTACTAATAAGACACATTAGGTACTTATCTACATTTAATTTACATAATGTCCCAAAATGATTTGACGTTGGACGCAACTTCTAAATAAGCATAAAGCACCATTAAAATATATCAAATATTTAAAATAATTTTCAAGTTTTTTAAAACATTTCGGGGGGTCGTAGTCCACTAGGCATCCCTACTATATACACCATTGATGCTAACTATAAACTTATTTACCATTGTTAAAATTCTTTAAAGAACAATATACTTCTATACTTACTGCAACCTGTAAAACGCATTTTGATTTTAAAAATTCCATTACATCTACTAAATCTTAGCAATGTTGTTATGTCCATGCAGATAAAACATTTTACATAATTATAACCAATCATATTAATAATGATTAACATAGAGTTATATATAAGTACATTGAATTTTTTAGAGGTTTAGAATATTTTATATACAAGTGTACAACAAAATTAATAGCAGAAAGTTGATGTAAAAATTAGAAACATTAGTAAATGGTTAATACTTGTAAATTAATATAGAAATAAATTGTTTATATATAGAAGTATGTAAATAAATAAATACTTAGCTTTGAATATTATTATATTTGTCTTGTATGAGTGGTTTTGAATTCAAAATTCGCTTACACACGAATTATGTTTGGTTTTATTTAAATGACTACCAGAAATTTTTTTTTGCCTCCCATTTTTAAAACCAAATGAAATAGAGGATTGTTTTACTGACGATATTGTTTCAATTTTACCTGAAGAGAAGAAAGTATAGCAATTTTCCGATTACATATTAATAAATAAATTAAGTCTAATCGTGACCACCGACTTTCTGTGTGGGTAATGTATTTATGTTCTATAATTCAAATAACAAATAATTGTGAAGCCTTCCACTCTAAATTTAAAAGTATGTTTTACTCAGCACACCTGAATATATTCCAATTCATAGATGTTATAAAAAATGTACATAAAGAAACTTATATTAAACAACGAAGTATTTATATAACTAAAAACAGCCGATGATGGTAGGTATGTGAAAAAGAAGATTATTTAAGATAAAATATGAAAGTAGCCTATTAATCCATTTTAATTATAATTAAGTTTCTACTAGTTTTTTTAATTTTATATTTATAATTTATTTTATTATTATTTATTTTGATTATTTGATTCCAATAACATGTTTTCATTTTACTTATATCTAATTACATAAAAACGATAAAAATCGATATTTTTAACCTACCGACAGGCCCTGATTTACGCAAGTGCAGTTGGAGCACTTGCACTTAGCCCCCAATTTCTGGGGCCCCTCGGTCTTCATAAGTTGTAGAAAATTTTATTTTTAAATTAATTCCACAAACATTTATTTTGTAAAATGTACCTAATACCAACTGTCAATGTTTAGAGTTTGAACATCCGATATATTTGATACATAATAACTATTTATAGATTTATTTGAGCACAGTATTTACAGATTTACCCGTCGTTGGTGACGCTATGAGAATTTCGTTCACGCAATCACCATTTTTAAAACCACTGGTTTATATTTCATTCGATTTTGAAATTTTATAAATTTTTAGATAGGTAAAACATATAAAACACTTAAAACATATAAATTTTTTTTTTTTATTATCAAAATGTCCCCCCCTTCTATGTAGATTTTTTTGATTCGGGGGGGAGGGACCAAAAAAAATTGTGCACTTGACCCTAATTTTATTAAATCATGCCCTGCCTACCGTTAGTCATAATATGCTATCGACCAGTGGCGTAATTGTATGTGTATGTGTGTGTGTGTGGGGGGTAAGGGGACAAGTGCCCCACTGACAATTTTTTGAATGATAAAGGTATAATTTTGCCTCCTCCAGCACCTTTTATTAATGAATTCTTATGGGTATTATTTGACAATATTGGTACCTAGTACTTGCTACCTACAATTTATGTTTATCTAAACCATAAAATGAATTAAAAGACTTATGTAAAATCAAACAATTAGATATAGTGTATACATTTACATACAATAAAAATATATTGTAACTGGTGAGGGAGAGGGATGTCAGGGTTTTGGTAATAATAAATATATTATATTGCCCCCCTTCCTAGATTTTTTTCCAGTTACGCCACTGCTATCGACAGTTCTATGTCTGTATTAAATATGGTTAGGACACAATTCATGTGCAGCGAAAAATTCATCCTCCAGTAAATACAAAATCAATCAAATCGCAACTCGTTTATTAATATTATTAACTATTATTAATAATTATAATAAAATATAATAAAATATTTATATGTGAAACAGTTAAACAGCGTAAAACACTTTTAATTATGTTATAAGAAAACGAAAATAAATTATTGTGGTAATCAACCAAGTTATAAAAATAATATATTTTTTTACGATATTAAAGTTAAATAATTAAGCATTTACAATGAAACAACGTTTGGCACAAAGAAAAGTTATCAACATTTTTAAAGATATTGGACAGACAAAATATATTTTTCAAAAATGGAAAGTTTGAAACGTTGACGTATGTAGAATAATGAATTTATACTGATGTTGAATTGTAACATTCACATAGATACAAATAGTACTTGAGGTTTAGGAAGTTGGAAAATTGTTCATAATTTATCTTACTAAGAACAAATGTACAATATACAATGTGTTATAATATTTAATTTTTTTTTTTTTTTGAGGGACTATAAATAATCTAGGGAATCTTAGTCCTCTAGCCTCCTACTCATTATTTACGCATATGAACATAGGTACAGGAGTAAATTATTAATATATGTCGATGTATTTTAAAATTGTTGAATTGGTTCCTATTTTTCAATAATTTATTTCAAGTTTAATTATTCGTCCAACTGTTTGATTTAGGAATCACTGGACTGTTTTGTGTTTATATTATTGTTATTACGTGTATTGCGCATGTGCAAAATTACATTTTGTTATTATTTTGATACTGCGCCGTTGTCAGTTCTCTTGAATTTCTTGTCACTTGAGTCTTTCAATTTCAGTCTTTGTTCTCATTGCGTGCAGTACAGTTTGGCCGCTGTATTTTCTTCCTTGGTTACGTCTATACAATTTTAAAATTATATTCTACAAAATAATTAAAATTACTGCCTAAATATGCCTTTTATATCAAAAGATTGGCGGTCTCCAGGAGAAGTATGGGTTAAAACGGAAGAAGGATGGGAAAAAAAGAAAATCCTAGAATGTTGCAATTTCTTACTAGGACAACAGGATGATTTATTGACCAGGTAAAATTGTCGAAATAATTTGTAGTCTTAAGTATAGTTTCTAGTATTTGAACATCAAATTTATAAACAGATATATAATATAATAATATTAAAGATTTAAGTTATACGTTTATTTTTAATATAATAACTATGTCTACCTATCTAAAACAGCTTATGTATAATTTGAAATGACTAGATTTTCTATTTAAGCTTAAAGTTCTACATTTTAAGATCTGTTAAATATTTGTTATTGATTTCTTAAAAAAATTCTTTTTACATGATATTTATAATAATCAATAATAATAAAATTATATTATTATAATGTAAGATCTTTTTTTTTTTTTTTTTTTTTTTAATTTGCTTTTGTTCGCACATTACAGCAAAATATTTATCTTATTCGTGTATTCTATTATTTTCAGGTATTCTGTTTCTGATCATTGTGATGAACAAAAACCTGAAAATGTTGAAAAATGGTAAGGAAATATTCATAATTTGTTCAATATTTACATTTATTTATTAACATTGACAATTTATACAGGAAATATAAAGTAATATTTTTATACTTTGATTTTCCTATTTTTTTTTGTATGAAGATATACCTAACTTAAAAGTTATTTTATTGATATAAGAATATTTGTAGATTTTTAATAACTTCTTTACCATTTTCTTAACTGTTGATAGTGATTAATGGAGAATATACATTTTATTAATAAAAAATGTTTACTTAAAAATAATCTTTGAGGATTTCACCTTTTATGAAATTATTTCATAATGTAAATTATTTAGGTTTAAATTAATTTCACAACATAATTACATAATATTTTATATTTATAACAATATAAATAATTAATTATTAGGCCATGATTGTTGGAATCATTTTTTTGAAACGTTCAGTTTTGTTATCTACAATTTATTTAAAGATTAATAAATAAAATATTTTTACCAATGTGGTATAATTAATTAATTAGCTAAATAGATATAAGAGATTAGTTTTTTTTTTTATTTTAACATGCATTGTTTATTAATTTATAGTTCATTCATAAAATTGTGTGTAGTAAAAAAATATTTCTTAACTATTTAATTTGTGCATTTTTAAAATATTTGACTGTATTAAAAAACAGTTAAAAATTGAACCACGAAAGCCAAGATTTATAAAAAATAACAAATTGAAGGTACAATTAGTATTGTCTTCCTAGTCAAGTATAAGGAATGTACACTATTGTATTATAATCTAAGAAAATTTAAAAAAAAATACATAAATTATCAACATTTAATTAAACTACATCTGGAAAGTCTGATAATAATAATAATAGTTAAAAATATTTGAAAAATCATTGAAACAATTACTGTCCCTATAATAGTGTCCATAAATAAATTAAAGTGAAAAATTATTTTAAAACAGTAAGGAATAATCCAGTCTTTTTTTCATCACATTTAGTTGTAATTTTATTTTTGGATTATTATTTTTATAATTCAAGGTACCTAAATAGATCATTCAATAATATTAGAATCTCAACAAAATTGAAGCTATTATCCATTATAATTTGTTTCAAACCAATAAAGGTACCCACTGAATTAAATATAATTACATTTCAGTGTATTGAAAATAAACTAATACCTATACTTATATTTTTACCCAAATTCCATTTGTATGAATATCTAGTTTTTTTGATTATCTGGCGCTTTTAATTACTCAATGTTAGTTACTATCACTGATTATAAATACCATTTATAATCAATGGTACTATAGACCACTATCTATAGCAGCGTTTCCCAAAGTGTGTTCCGCGGAACCTTAGGGTTCCGTGGGACAATGCTAAGGGTTCCGCCAGATATATGTGAATGTTGAGAAATTTATTTTATATTATATTTGGAAAATGTATTATTTCATATTATTTAAAAAAAAAATTGTGTTTTATACTAATTTTAATAAAGAGTAATCATTAACAATATTAACAGTATCATTGAAAATATTTTTAGAGTATTGGTTTTCCTATAATTTTTGTTTTAAAAAAAAATTAGAATTGAATTGAAATTAAAGATATTAGGGTTCCGCGAATCACAAACTATTTTTTAAGGGTTCCATGAATGTAAAAGTTTGGGAACCGCTGATCTATAGGAATATTGGATTGTTTTTTTCTGTAAATTTAATGAATTTAGATCTAAAATTGAGATAATTATTGGAATAGATTCAAAAACTAAATCCCGAACACTTATTAAGTAGTGATAATAATTTAAATATCGGAACTTGCAGATGAATAATGTGTTCAGAGATATTATACATGTATGTAATGGATAATAAATGAAAAATATCCAGAATACAACTACTTATTTTTTTTCTTTTGGTTTCTGGCTTTAAGACCCTACTAAATGTAAATATTGCCATTTGTCTCTATCCTCTGCTGTTTTTCTCCTAACATGTGTTACATTGGTTTTGGCAATTTAATTTAAGATGATAACTATCATATTATAACACTTCCAATTTTGTGTTGTGTTATTTCGAAAATACTACTTTAGTAACCGTTGTATATTTTACGTAAAATATTGTAAAAACAATTGTGCAACATCGTGTTTCATAAAATGTTTATAAAAAATATAAACAATAAATCAAATGGAGTAATTTAGCATGGTAGTAGTGTAACTAAATTTTAAATTTTGAGGGGAGAGGGGTTTTAACTTCCTCATTTATTTTGGAAATGCCATGAAAAATCACTCAATATCTCACTACAAAAAAAAAAAAAAAAATTGTGTTTATGATGATTTACTATGATTTACTACCTATTTAATTAAGCATTTAATTAGTTACTAAAATCAGTAAAATCTTTAAAAATGTAGATTTTTTAATTTTGCAGTAAATTTAAAAAATGTTTTTGAAAATTTTCATTGAATTCCTTTTTTTAAAAATTAAATTATAATAAAGTAATTAATTTTAGCTTGTTTCGAGATGAATAAATGAAAATTAGCACTCAATATCCAAATTGCAGTCTGAAATTCCTACTTAACTCTATGCTTCAGGGGCGTATTTAGGGGGAGTGATATGGGTGTTAAAACACCCCCCATTGACCTTATTTTATGGTATTTCACCAAATTGTAAACTTACTTTGATTATTTGAATAAACGTTGTATACAACTTGTAGGTTTTTCATATGCTGTCTTAATGTAAACATTTTCATTTATATAAATACATGGAATTTTATTTATTTAATACGGGGGAGGGGGCAGAAGCTCTACTTATCATAAGTCTAATAAATTTTAAAACACCCCTGTTAAATGAATCCTGGATATGCCACTGCTATGCTTTGTACAATCATTATTACATATGATCGAGTGAAACGATATTTAAGTTATATAAAATCTTAAGTTCTCATATTTTATTGGGAAAAATATGTTTGTATAAAATAATATATTAATTACATTATTAGGTACATTCTTACATAAGTATTTTGTCTGTTACTATGTTTTATTATACTTACATGCTATGTAAAATAGTGTAATAGAAAAGTATACATGCAAGACGTAACTCATATATTTATAATATTTCTACGACCTAATTTGTAATTATACGTTTATAATAATGTTACTTAGTATTATATTTTACGAACTGAAACAATTGTATAACTGAAAGTAAAAACATTGTGTTAATTATTTATATAATATATGGTACATAAAACACATTTATATAATAATTATTTTATTATAAATATTCCAAAACTTCTTAAAACTGTCCTATTGATCATTATATTTTATTATTATTTTTACCTAATTTATTAGTCAATATAATTCGAGATGTATAAACTAAAAATAAAACTAGTAATCTTATTTAATGCGAGTTATTTAGCCTAAGATCTCTTAAAATACACAATTAAATTTGAAACTACATTGTTTTTAATATTATTAAATATCAATTTAAATTTTTATTAAATTGAAAAAAAAACTTATTCTATTGTAGTTTATTATATGATACAAATAAATTATTCGTATTAATTATACTTACTATCATTATTCGTTTTGTTAGATTATCAGTAATTATTATTATAATTTAAAATACAATATATTAATTTGATATTGTATACTTTTCGTATATATTTTTTTTTTATATTTTTCTTGTTTGAAAACGTAACTTAATACGTATGTGAACACAAAGTCTATGAAAACGTTACACGTAAACGAAAAATTTGTATTTATGGATACTTAATACTCGTGAATTTACTATCCGTTTTCACGTATTAAATATTTTACTATTATTTAAATATGTACCTATATTACAGGTATAGTAACACTCCCCTCCCCTTTAACCGTGTTATTCTGAAGTAATATAAAGGTAAATTCATCATAAGTCGTGATGAAAACATATTTATCATAATGAAATATATACATAACAATAATGCAAAGCCAAGATCCGGCTTCTGATTACATCATTTTATCTAAAAAACTAAAGCCATGGTTTTGTGTCGTATCATGCGTGATTTAAAATAGGTACATATGACAAAAATGTACATTTGAAATTTTAATAAAATATTTAAATACTTTCTCATACAATAGTACATTACACATGAATAGATATTCATGTGTTATGTACTAATGTGTTTGTATGCTTGTACAATTAAGTATATGTAAAGTAATTATTTTGTTGTGTATAATTTTGAATAACACCCCCCTTTTGAAATACCTAGCTACACGCCTGCTATATAAAAATCTAAAATACACGTTGGTACGTATACATTTCGTTTACAGTTCATGTATATCATGTATATACAGAATTTCAACTATATCGTTTTTTTATAATCTATTGTTAATTTTAGATGAATACGTGAAAGCGTGTTCATGTTTAATAGGGTGTTCTAATTTATTGGCTTTATAGGCTATTATAATATTTATATATAACGATTATCGTATTCTATGAAAATAAAATAAAATAATATTTTTGAAATTACTTTTGTTAATTCAGGCTGTTATTTATACACCAACCTTTAAATTAAAACGTATATTAATATTAAATCATCAAAAATCAGTAGTATTTCAGTGCCTGCAAATATGTAACTAAAAACGTAATAATTTGAATCCAAAAATAACTTCTTAATATGTCTTTTACCCGTTACATTTTTAATTTATAGAATAAGTGGCTTCTAGCCACTTGCTGAACTATGGTGGTTTTTAGATGTAATACAAATATTTGGAAGTCCTCCAAAACGGCATATCTAGATAATATGCAAAGCTAATTTGTTTTTGTTTAAAATTTAACAGTCGTAATAAGTTTTGGATTTATTGTTGTTGGTTAGCTAGTCTATATTTATATTAATAACAAAAGCTTCAAATTTAAGCATCAAATAATAATATATAATATAATAGTAATTATTATATTATTTTTTTTTTTATTGATCTCAAAATATAACATCGACAACAAAGGCCATTAGTTGCAAATAATATATGAGTTGTGATTAGACATAAAGACGAGTTATATAATTAGGTTCCTAATTTTTTTCTTTTTTCTTATAAGATTGACCAATTTTACTTGTTTTGTAAAATTAATTATATCTCTGTATTTTTTCTTAATCGGGTCTAAGTGCGACGTCTAGGTGTAGGATATCTTATGCTCAGCACATTCTTGGTTGTACATTAAAAAGTCGGTTATTAAGTGTTTGGCAGTTAATATAGTTTCACAGGTTTGACAAATGGGGGGGAGCTCCTCTCTGACCATCAGGAAATCGTGAATGATTCTGGTGTGTTCAATGCGAAGTCTCCTTAGTCTCCTCTTTTTGGTTGAGCTTTGGGTTTGACCTAAATAATTAATTTAAAAAAAAAAAGTATTGTGATATCAAATTAAAATTTTTAATATTTGTAATAATATATTGATACACTTAATATTTATAATATTAATTTTATATGTATTTTTTTGAAATTATTTAGGAATGAAGATGAAAATACCGAGGAAAAAGAAAACAAAAATTCCATTAACCATTACAAACACCCAAGAACAAAATATAATAGTGAAAGTCAATGTAAGTATTTCTTAATTTGACATTAAAATATAATATGTTGTATGTTATTAGACATATTATGTCTATTTAATATTTAAAAAAATTTTCATTTTAATTCAATTTATTTTAGTAAGCGATTTTAATAATTAGCAGCTACTAAATCTATTTACATTTTAAAAACAATGTTTTCTAAATAATACTAAACAGTTGAGTAAACATTTTATGAAATTTAAATATAATTTATTAAAAAACATTTTCAAAATTGTATTTAATTTTTTTATTTTGTGCATCCATATTTTTAAATTTTTATAATGCTTGATATTAGAGGCTTTCCTTTATATTTATTTATTGATCCCTATTCTCATGTATGGTTGTCTCTACAGGGTCCGGCAAAAAGACCTCCCATATTTTAAAAGGCAATTACAAATAAATAAACAATTTAACGGAACAATTTTATTAAATTTTTAAATTAAATATTATGCCATTTTACATTAAATAAAATAATTACTTAGTTTTAAACATTATATATGTTAAATATTGTCCTCTATTATTAACACGGTAGCATGTCAATTCATCGCGCGTCTATTTATCGTGGTAAATTGATCGTTCGGTAAACTTACCGCGACGTTAATTCATCATGTGTTAATCCACCGCACATATATATTTTTAAATCGACTACGGCCTATCGCAATTGTTGCTTATCTGTGTAGCTACAATTAACGATAATGAGGTAACTAAGCCAGTTTATTCCTCAGTCGGTCAACAATCGTCGAACTTCATTTTATATAACCACGTCGTTGTTTCCGTGCTTGTGCATTTTCACTTCTCTGTTTAATTATGGCTGTTAATTATGAAATGTTAAAGACTGAAAGAGGGAAAGATATGATTTCCTTCAATGGTTATATTTTCGTAAAAGAGAAAGAAGTAGGTGAAGTAGGTAATTTTAATTCAATATGGAAATGTAACCAATATTTTAAAATCAAATGTGGACGCGTTCATTTAAATGACGGGAAAATATTAAAAAATACCGACCATAACCATGTTCCGAATTCAACAGATACTAATGTTAAAAAAAAACACTAAATTTACTAAAAGAAATAGCTACTAATAACATTGATGCAAGTTCTCATTCTGTAGTAGCTACAGCATTATCTCAAATTCCTATGGAGTGTGCGGCTCAGTTACCTAATATTCATGAACTCAAGCATACTATACAACGTGTGCGTAACAGCAACTTCAATTACCAAACAATCCAACTGATTTTAATCATATTATACCTGACGAAATTAAAAAAACCACAGATGGTAATCTGTTTTTACAATATGACAGTGGTATTAATAGTGACAGAATTTTAATTTTTTTAATTTTTCAACTACAAATTTATTAAAACTTATGGCGCAATATAACAATTAGTTTTATGATGGTATATTTTCAAGTGCTCCATCTTTATTTTATTAAGTTTATACTGTTCATGCAGTACAATATTTCAATTTTATACCATCAGCTTACATCTTATTACCTGATAAAAAAGAAAAAACTTATAGACGTATGTTTCAAGGGATATACGTCAATTCATCGTGTGTCTATTTATCATGGTAAATTTATCGTTCGGTCAACTTATCGCGACGTCAATTCATCGTGCGTTCATCCACCGCACATATATATTTTTAAATCAACTAATAACACATTTACGAAGCCTTTCCCGGAAGTTTTCCATTGCTTGTCGAGTCATTTTTGGTGTAATGGCTGCCACTTCCTGAGTGATTGCCTCCTTAAGTGCTTCCAAAAATGTTGGGCGATGAGTGTAGACTTGGACCTTTAAATGTCCCCAAAGAAAAAAATTACAAAGTGATAAATCGGGGGACCTTGGGAGCTAGGTGATGTCTCCTCGTAAAGAGAAAATATGTCCTGGAAACATCTCTCTCAAAATGGTTAGTGAATGCCGTGAAGTGTGTACTGTGGTTCCTATCTTATTGGAACCAGACTTCTTCGTGGTTCCTAGTAAACTGATTTAAGTTTGGTCGGAGAAAGGTCTCAATCATGTGACAGTAGCGATCCGCTTAATTGTAACTTTTTGCTCATTTTCTTCGAAAAAATACGGACCTAACATCAAATTCAGCAACAGCACTCCAAGCTGTCACATAAGGGCTGTGAAGTGGTCGTTGACAATGTTTTTGAGGGTTTTCTGTTGCCCAGAACCGGAAATTTTGTTTATTTACAGTACCCGGTAAATGGAAATGGGGCTCGTCAGACGAAGTCAAAACAGCACCAATAGGAATGTTTTGAAGAATGTCTTCACAAACAGCTCTGCGAGTTTCAAAATCTATCTCACTTAATTCTTGTGTGATGCTCACGCCATTATGATTACTGAAAATAGCACGTAGACCTCTATCTATCTATTGATTGTAGTGGTCTACAGTTAAAATATTAATAATTTCCATATTAGAAAAAATGTATTTCAGCACCACTTCCTTTATTGTTGGCGTCTAATTATAGCTCCCTATCTCTTTTTAATCGAACTTTGATCATCTTGTATAAATAGTCCAATCATCTTTGAAAAATATATTACTTTTTTTAATATTCAACTTGTATCTTTCTTTATTCATAGTTCATACATAAATGAATACATGCAGGGCCTATATATTGTATTACACATTTTTTTTTTTAAATTTTGTTTTAACCATAAACTCTTGGTCCTAAAATTATATTCGCCTCCATATTCATAAAAATTATTATTTAAATATTTTTATCTACCAATGATAGTTGATTACATTTTTTTTTTTTTTAACAAATATTACCAGAATTTAAACTTTATGAAGAAGAAATCAATGGGTAAAGTAAGAAGTAATCCTAAAAAAACTTTTACACATTATCAACTAGTTCAGTGGTGGCCATACTACGCCCGCGGACCAACTCCGGCCCGCCATCATTTAATATCTGGCACTCGAAAGTATTCTACATTACAACACTTATTTGCATAACTGTAATATTTTACATTTACTTAAAAAAAAATTGAAAAATGTATTTTTTATGGCCCGCGGTAAAAAAGTTTGGCCACCACTGAACTAGTTTATTAACAACTTCATTAATATTTAATACATTTTTATTTCAAAAAATTTGTTTAAACAATGTTCCTTTGGATTCTATGTTCATTTTATCATTTCATATTATACACAACTGATTAGAAATTATATACAATGTGGGGTATTTTACACAAAATTAAGCCCTGAGTACATGAATTGTATGAATAATGTTTCTTATTATATTTTAACTTTAAGTGAGAATGTTTATGATCTAGTATAATATTTTTTTTGTCTTATATTATTACTTGATAAGTTATTTTTTAGATGATGGTGTAATTCAGCCGCACTGTCATATTACAATCAAATGTACTAAAGAAGTAAGCATATTATAATACAAATTTTATAAAATATTTATTAACACATCAATTGTTTTCAGTAGTTCAAAATTTTCATAATTAATATTATATAAAAATATTTATTACAATTATATTTAAAAACTAGTATTGTTGAATATGCTGTGATAAAAGATGATTGAATGATCTTAACTTTAAAATTAATCATAAAATTATCCTGAACAAATCTTATAAGATGTTATGTTTCTTAAATAGAAAGAATAAAATACAATTATTATGTTTCTGAAACAAAAGAATTTAGGAATCCTCTATGCTTAAAAACACATTTTACTTCTCTAGTCAAATCTAATCTAGAATTAGGATCATATACTTGATCTCAATATTTGTCTACATATAACATTGAACTTGATAATGTTCAAAATAAATGTCTAAAATGTATATCATATAAAATAAATTTTCCGGTTTTTAAAAATTCTATTAATTAAACACAGGAAACATTGGGTGTCTTTTAATATTGATTGTCTCTCTCTAAGATGTGATCTGGCTGATATAATGTTTGTTTTTAATATTCTTAATGGGCATGTTTTTGTCTAGAATTATTAGCGATGATAGGTTTCCAGGTTCCTCAGATATATACTTGCAATTTAAAATTATTTATTGTTCCACATAATAAAATTAATAATGGAGCAATATATTTTTTTCCTGTAGCTTTACAATTAGCAAAAAATCTTCTATCAACTTTATTTTCAAAATTCCACACGGGATATTTTTAAAACTAATACTTTATTGTTTCTAAAAAAATCTTATTAGATTATTTCTCATTTTGTTCTTTATTTTTGTCTTATACATTTAAATTGTTAAAATGTTTACGTATTTTATATTATTATTATTATTCTAATATGTATATTGGTTGTTGTCTTAAATTATTCTTATACTTTGTAAAGAGTTAAAGCCCGTTAAATACACAATAAATAAATATATTTTAGATTGCAGGGTTTAATGGCCTTAGTGAAGCGCTCAAACGATTAGACTTTCGTTCTGCTGTTCATGATGGTCGTCGATTTCATTATATTTGTAAACTTCTTGATCTCCTTGTATCTCATAGACTAAATGCATTATCTGGTTGTGCCCAAAGAGTCCTTTTTAATATAATTGAAGAAGTTGCTCGTCAAGGTTAGTATTAATTTCAACTTACTGTTGTCATATTTAATAGTTTAAATATTTTTTTTTTTTTAGTTTCTCAAAGTCAGCAAAATAAGCATATGTTAGACCGTCTTTTAGGACAACTTCGTCAGGTTGTTGAATTTGCTTGTTGGGGAAGACCATTAGGATCAACTATTTTATGGGAGCAACATTTGAATACTATTAACCGTATTCATGAAATAGCTGACCGTATTGAAATCCGTCCAGTAATATTTATTTTAACTAACGTTCAAAATTTTTTTTTAATGTTAAATTGTATCTTTAGCCTAGTGATAATAAAGAACCTCAATTTGAGCAATTACCTGAAGAGTGTGTACGTGAAGTATTGTTAAGACTAGCTGATCATCAAGACTTGGAGCGTTCAGCTCATGCATGGGGTGTAATGGCACGTTTAGTTGATGAATTACGAATTTGGCGTGAGTTATGTCAATTCCATTTCAGCCCTCGTCAAATACAGTCTGTAATTGATAACTCACCAAATACTAGTGAAGATTGGCAGTTAATATATCACAAGTTAAGAAAGTAAGTTCATTATATTTTGAATAATACTTTTATGATTTACTTAATGTACTACCACACAATTATAGATGTTATGGACTACGAGAAGAGTATGCTGAGATGATACAGCTATGTCGAAATTGTCGATGTTTATTTTGGCATAGTATTGGACATCCATGTATTGCAGATACTGATCCAAATTTTATGGAAAAACTTGAAGATGTTGATAAAAGTTCATTATATGTACCTATACCACCACAAGCTTTTCTTAAATTTTTTTCACTTTAATTTAATTTGTTAAGTATAGAAAACAGTCTGGTACAGCTTATTAATATAGTGTAACTGATTATTTTAGAATTTAGAATTTATTTGATTTATCATTTGCACAATTTACTTCATAGATATTGAAAAAAAAATATATTTTATATTAATATTTATTGAAATTATAAAGCAAAATATATTTAAAATAGGAAAACTGAAAAAATATGTATTTTTCTTGAAAATATATGCACATGATATATATTTATAGCAATCCTCAATCAATTAAAAATAATTTCATAGATTAGTTTTCTTAATTTTAAATACTGAAATATTCATGTGAAATTATAATTTTCCTATATGTAATTTTTCGAGTAAAACAACTATTTTTTTCTAGTCATCTTTTGTTAATCTCTTATTATTTTCTCTTCATCAAGGTTGGACTGTTAGTTAAATAAAATCATTAAAACATATTGGAAAAAGGTATTCAAGTCCAATTGGCAATGAATAAAATTTAATTAGGTGAATTATTTTTCTATAGTACCTATTTGTGAAAAATGTTTATTCTTAAAGTATATTATAATAATTAATTTTATTATTTATAAATCAAAATTATTATCAACAATCTTTTAGAATACTTTCTTTTAATTTTAATATATAAATAAATAAAAGCTTAGCCTAGAGTATTATTATATTTGTAAATTACGACTGTTTTCTACTTAAAAATTCATTGTCAGGTATGTACAAAGTCAGTATAATTGCAACTAAATGTGAAAATTAAAATTGTGACTTTAGAGTATATATACTTGATGATGCATTTTTAATTATAAACCAGTCATAATATACAAATATAATAATACTCCAGGCTAAGCTTTTATTTATTTATTTATATGTATAAAATATTTGTTTATGTATTAATTTACGAGTATTAACCAATTAATAACTTTTAATATAATTATATTTTTTATTTTTTATAATTTTCAATTTTAGTTTGTATTTCTTTAATTTATTTATAATAATTTAAGAAAATTTTTCTCACTATCAACCATTATTTTAAAATTTTCCTATTATCTACCATAACGATTTTTCTATTTTTCATTAATATAAAATATTTCTCAATCAAATGTAAAATAGTTTACTGAATGTATACACATATCATACACACTAAATATATTGTATTACATTTTTTGTTTTAGTACTTTTTAAAAATGAAATATTATTTTAACTTATCCAATTAATATTTTGGCTCTATATTAAAGTGTTGGTTCAAAAAATATTAAAAATATTTAACTTAAGCTTTGAAAAATAAAAATAAAATGATTATTAATAATTTAGTTCAGTGGTTGCCACCTATTAGGCCTCACAGACCATTATATATATATAACTCTAAATTTTACGGACCACTATAAAGTTAGTATTTATAGTTTTTATAATACAAAGTCTTAGGTTTTTATTCAGAGATAATTAATTTACAGCTTTTTTAAAAATGTTCACCTGATAATTCTCATATTTAATAAAAAAAAAAATACATAAGTAAAATAATAAGGGATCATTATTTTTTTTTTTTTTTTTTTGCGTTTTTGATTATTATATTTTTATATAATATTAGTGCTGACTATTATATTTCTATCATAGTCGATTGGTAAACAAAAAGTTAATACAATTTCAAATAATTTTTAAAATTGTTCGCAACATCCAATATTTCTTGCAGACCACTTACATTTTATCACTGACCACCAGTTGGTGATCGCTGATTTAGTTAAATTTTATTAAGAAATATTAAAGTTACATATAATAATTTATTATTAAAAGTTATAAATCAATAGTTTTAGCTCTGATATTTTAAATATGACTTTTTTTCATGACTAACTAAATTATAATGACATATAGATATACTATTATTATATTTTTTAGCATTAAAAATATCATAACTTTTCATATAAAAATATAATTTCTGAGAAATATTAGTTTATATAGTAACATAAAATAAATTCAAATAAAAGTTTACTGAGCATAACAATTGAAAATAAATTACAACATATGAGATAAATTTTTTAGTTATTACAAATAATGTAATATTGGATTGCATATATTATTTATGCATTGTATTTATATGCTGTTGTATTTTTAAGTTTTATTAATTCAGCCCTTATATGTACTATAATACTAATAATAAACCTTAAAATTATAAAAATACTTTGTTTATAGGATTTCATTATAAAAACTAATTATGCATTTATAATGGCAAAACAATATTAACCTAAAGGCTAATTTGTATTAATTGTTCTTCGTTTTTTCAAATTTCCAAAGTTGAAGTAAGCTTTAAGAAATTTAGTTTTCCTAATAAATGTATTGTTTTGGTAATTAATTTTACATAATAAATGTATAATTTGCCGAGGCAGATATTTAGATGTAATTTTATTTGTGAAATTTTAATTATAAATGTAATAATTTTTTTTTTCTGTTATGCATTTGGTTTTGTGATTTATTATTAATTAATATATATATAAATTTTAAATTTTTTATGGGAATTTGCCTTAGAATAATCATTTTAATTTTGTTAAAACCATTTTGTTTCTTGTATTATTAATAATGTTATTTTAATAAACTATTTTTCTTTTTCAACTTGGTTAATTTATTTCTTTGATGATAAATCATCAAAACTTAATTTTATGACATTCATTCATTTAGTTTGAATTAAATTATTTACATTGAGAATATAGTAAAAAAAAAAAAAATTAATGAAATAATACAGTTGAACCAAATTTTATAAATATGGGTGTTTCAGTATTGAATTTATAAACTGCAAATAATTTAACGTATACAGATCAAATAATTCTTTACATCCATTTTATTTATTAATTAATATTAGATTTCAGACATTAATGACAGTATATTTTGTTAGTCAGATTTATGTCTGAACACAATATAAATCTAATGGAGTCTAGATTGGGAATAAGCCAATTTATTTTACAACTGCATATTTAACATTTTTAAGAATATAAAAATGCATATACCTATTGATAATTTCAATATATCGTTTATATATGACTATAGTTCATATTTCATGCAATGATAATATTATTTATAGATTATTTTTGATCCTAATCTAACTAATATACCTATATTATATATATACACTTGCAGTTGAATCTACAGTTTCATCAATACAAATTAATTGTTCTTTGAAATGAAACCATCATTAGCAAAATACCTCAACACAAAAGCAAATTGATCAAACTTTGACACATCAGTTATTGAATCCAGTATAAGTGAATACATTCCAACCAATTTTAATTCCTTCAAAATTGTTTCACATATTGATTCAGCAATACAGCTGAGCATAGAATTTTGCTATAATTTAGATAAAAACAGTGGCGCCAAACTTCTCAAATTTTATTCAGGCCAAATAAAAATACAACAGTCTCAAGCACACAAGCGGCCACAAGCCTACATTTTTACTTTGTAAAGAAAAATAATTTGTGCTCTCAAATTACAAGTATTAAGTGCAAACCATAGATCTGATCCTCGGTATCATTCTAAAAATGTGGTCAGACCGCGGCCTTACCTAAGCATAATGTGTATGCCACTGGATAAAAATGTCAATCTTTGTTTTTTTGTTGATGATTTAATTTTTTCTAATTGAGAAACTAAAATTGTAAAATTGTGTGATGTTTGGCAAAAACTTTAACTCAATCTAGAAACATTCCACTTGCTTCATTTGTTAAGTACTCACTATGTCCTCTGAATGCATCATTATATTTGGATAAACATAATGTTATGTACATTAGTACGTGAACGCTGGTACGCTCTATTCATAGCAACATGCTTATGATTAGAATTTCTCAAATGAATATCCACATGGTTATTACTCATGTAGGTACATTACTTTATTTAGTTCAGCTTCTAAGTGATCTTTACAAGTTTCATACAAATGAATTCAACCATATAAACCACCTAAATGTCCATATGAATTACAACCTATAGTCACAAAAGAGTTTGAGCTCTTATAGAACTAAACAGTTTGCATATCCAGCAATACATTTTATTAATTACAGGTGAGTATGTAATCCATGGTTGACGTTCAGACTTTCCATTAACCAACTTTGTATAGTATGATGTCGAAAATAAACGTTGTAGTGAGCCGTTCTGCAAGAGGACGACGCAATACACCGTTGACGAATAAATACTTGAACGGTTCACGTCTGTGATGTAGAGTCGTTGGAAGGTGTTTAAATGACAAAACACGATGGTTTAAAGTTATACAGATATGTATAATAATGAATAAAATAAAATATATATAATATGTGGTTAATACAAATAAGATAGTAATTTATAATTGAAAGTGTGAGGACAGAGTAATTAAGCTCTGCCCGAGAATAATAAAGATTGACTCTCAGAGCTGGCGGCGATGTGAGGCGCGCGGGCTTCACGACCAGATGAGCGTCGGTGCAGTAAGCGGAGTAATTAGTTAACACTAGTTTAATTCATTCTACTATTCTAAATGTATGGGTAAATGGATACTATATACATATATATGGATACTTATAGGCAGCCATTTAGGATAAGATGGGGGATGGGATATCGATGGGGATTCTGCCGGATGTGAACAAGGAAGCTTGTTTCTGTGATATTGAAAATAGGCTCTGTTCCGTGGGAACTGCATATCAATACGAGTAAGTATTGATATTGGTTTCCGTTTCGGTTTTGCCACATTAGTATCAATACATGATATAATGTTAGCGGATGTTAGCTACCCGGAGGTTTACTATAACGTGGTAAATTTGATTCATCTTTTCGACATTTTCTTTCGGGTAAATCAGTAGCAACTGGTTGTCATGGACCCATTTCTATTTAAATTAACTTCAATCCAAGTATGATTGATTTATTCATAAATAACACTGGATCATTTTTTTAACATTGATGAAGCTAATTATAAATTGTTAACAGATGCATAGATATCAGAATACTTAACAACTAAAATTATACAATGTTATTAGTTGAATATCATAATAATTGTGTATTGTTCAGTTCCACTAAACTCTTTCAATATTCATACAATGTGATTTAGTTATTGTTATTTACTAATTATCTCACTA